TAAGTAGGAAAAAATTTTGTGGCTGATTGACATTGAACATATTGTTGCAGTTGAAGACAATTCGTGTTTGTGGCCCTCGGTACTGGTCTCAAGTGATAGAGCTCATCCCTGAAGGTTATTGAAATTTGCTGCTGTATTTTCTTATAAGTGTTAATTTTTTATTTTCCTGCTTAAGCTTTTAGTCTCTTATAGATAAGCCTTGGTGGAGTTTTGGTGATCGGAATGACCCATTTAATTCTGGTGTTATCTACATCAAGCGGAAGGTTGGAGCTTGCTCGTATGTAGATGATCCTGTGGGGAGCCAATCACTACTTTCACGAGCTATGCACAAGGTTTTGCCAAAAGACTCTTTTACACTAACATCCCTTTCCCATTTGTCCATTTCCTTCAAAATAGATTTATTTGGGACTAAATAACATGTATGTTATTTATCTTTGATCTAGGTATTTGGTTTGACAAGTCTCAAAGCATGTGATTCAGATGGTAATGGCAACAATGGACCTGGTTCTGTTACTGTTGACCAGTTGGTCGGTACCTTTTCATCTGATCCTAGCTTGATTGCCTTTGCCCAACTTTGCTGTGATCCTTCCTGGAATAGCAGGCAAGCATGCAAATCACCGTTCTTATTTCTTCTCTACTTCTTGTTTCTCTATTCTAGATTTAGGTGCTCCGTTTGTGGTTTGTTTGAGTTGTTTGCAAGTGTATTTCAAGTTCATCATGTTTACTTTTCATGTTTGTAGGGCTTAACCTGCATGGAATCATCTTTCATGTCATTATTTGGCCATTGTCTCAGAAAAATAATAAAAAATGAGTTCCTGCATACATCCAATATTCTGTGTCTTGACTTGACTGTCAGCAATAATTCACTATCAATTTGTGTGTAGATCTGATGTGGACTTCCATGAGTTCTGTTTGCAAGTATTATTTGAGTGCATAAGCAAGGACAGACCTGCTCTTCTACAGGTAATTTTCTTTGTTTTTCTGTTTTTTCTATTAGTGGTGAAATTTTAAAGGGAACCATCTGACTTTGCAAGGAAATCAGTTTCACTCTGGTCTTCGAATCTGTCATTCTGTGGTTTTGATGCATTAAGTTAGCCTACCAGAAGTATGTTTACATTTTTATGGATAAATGTTTTCCTCTTTCTTTTAAAGGTTTGCTGCATGGTTCCTTAATTTATCAGATACTTCCTCATTTGTTACTTGTCTCTTCATTGCAAACAGGTTTATCTGTCCTTGTACACAACAATTGGTTCAATGGCTGAGCAGGTTTCCAATGGTACTACCATTGTCCACGACTCACTCTCTGTCTCTAGTTTAAAGGTAATTTGTATAAACTAGGCATCTTTGTTTTACTACTCAAGACACTCTTACTTAGGGAGGCTGAATATATCCCCATTTCTCCATTGGATGGTAATTTTTTCTGAACTTCTGTGTTATGGTTTCTTTAACTACCTAACTACTAAAGTGATTCAGTGTTGTCTAAATACTTGTTTTAGTGCTTAAAGAACTACAATTAAATAAGAATAAATTAACTGTAGTTTTATACCTTGAAGGATTAGAGGATTTAATATTTTTTATGGTAATTCTAAATTTCCACTTATTAGCGATTTAACATGCCCCTTTCTTTGCAGATTGCACTAACATACAATGAAGCTCTGTTGAGTGGAAGACTAGCCAATTCTAAAGGTGGCATTGTTCAATCTATCTTCTTAGGGTCTCTAAGGAAGCGAATGGAAGAGATCCTAAAGGGTTTGGACGGATTGAAAGATTATTTTCATAATTATTTAGAGTTGGGGAGGTGGCCTCATAATGGATCTCTTGGAGAGAGAAGTTCAATACTTTTTTCTTGGTATCTTCAGTGGTTTGGTGTGCCAGCTCCTTCTGTAATCAAGGCTGCAGTATCCAGAATAAAACCCAAGATCAGTTCATCATGCTCAGTTCCTTTACTGTGTTTGTTGCTGCCAGGCGCACATGTCAGTGCAATTGATGAGATAGATAAATGTTTGGTTTCTTCTGACATTGGCTGATGAGGACAGTTGGCTTCAGCTGTGTATATGTTTGGCTTCCAATCTGCAGTGCTTTCAAAATTGCTCTTGTCTAATCTCCCTGAAGGGAAGAAGAATGTACAATCTTCTCCAATATTTTGGTTAAGTTATGCTCTGCTCCCTGTACATTTTTGTAACTTGAAAACTATGAAGCCCAGAGCTAGGTTTGTTAAAGAGCAGAAAAGGAAAATTTAGAGGTTGTCATTGAGACTTTCCTTTAGCTACACAGTACACACCAATCTAATCAAACAAAGAAAAGAAAAATTGTCGGAGGTCAAGAACTCAAGATTGAGAAATGATATGTGCATACGGTATCTCATTCCAGATAGCTGGCAGCCCTGGTAGGGCACCAGTAGGATGCAATCTGCATGTACAGTCCGGTCTGTACGCTGCTCCAACAGGAGCAGTTTTCCCTGTCAGATGGCGTAGATGGAGGTATGTGCATCTTTTCTATGCTTAGAGAGGATGGGATACTTATCAAATGGATCGATACTTTCATAGAATGAGTCACGTTTTCTGGTACCACAAATAGTCTTTTATCTGTGTCCGGTGCCCACATCCAGTGGGACGGACCTGTTCAACACTGACAGTCTCCTTAGCACCCTTTATCCCATCTGGGTTATGTTCCAAGCCTCACTCCTGTTTTCACCACGTCATGAATTCCCGTTAGGAATTTCGATTCTGAAGATAGGGTCGGGGTTGAGGTTTTTATGACAAATTTCATGTATTGAAAAAATGATGAATTTGAGCTTTGACGCAAAGGAATTGAAACTTGATATGAAGGGTAGACATGCAGATAAAGTAGACATAGAATCAACATTATTCCTAACCCACTCAGCCCATGTCTTGAGAACTTCTCCATAAGCTATGGAGTGCTGAATTTCATCATACTTCAAGAGGTCCTCATTGAATAATCCTCATCTTTTCCATCAACATTTCAAGTTAAACAAGTTAAATTAGCACTAATCAATGGATTTCTCTTGAATTAGGAAGATTCTCTCTGTTTTTAATGAAGGGTACGTAGGAGTTTGATCGACAGATTGTTCATCCGTAAGTATGAGGTTGAGATTATTGTCACCATTTAATTTTGTTATGACTATCAATTTAATTATGTTTTTATTAGTTTATATTTTTTTTAAACAATTAATTATAATATTTATAAATTTTTATTTATGAATTAATTTTAATTTATTAAATAATGTATATTAATTATTTTATTAATTATCAATTGTTTTAAATAGTCAAATTAAAATAAAAATTTAATAATTATTAATGGTTTTAACAAATTAAATATGTACTATAACCATGGTCAAAGTACTATGAAGGAATGGCAAAATTTTCAAATCTGTCCCTCAAATAAGAGGGTAAGAATAGATGTGTTTTTTTAAAAAAATAGAGAAATTATTTTTTTAATTATTAATTAAAATAAATTATTTATTATTTAATATGTTATATTATCATTTTTTTT